TGTTAAACATAGTATTGTTATTCTGAGTTTTTCTTGCTAGTGGAAAACATAGAAACAGAAACAGCTTCGCTAATAAGAGACCTTTGTTGAATACCTCCCATGGGCAAAACCCTATACCGCAATACAAGGGGATACAGGGATGCATCCTTCATTATATATATATATATATTTTTCAGTTGTAGGTGGACACAATACCTTTATTTTTATGTGGTGCTGAGGATTGAACCCAGTACCTCACGTGTGTCAGGTGAATGCTCTACCACTGAGCCCCAGCCCCAGCCCTGTATCCTTCATTTTAATAAGCTCTCAAGGCCTATTTATTTATTAAGATCTTAGGGCCTTATTATATATAATTATGTTATATAGTTTTTCTTGTATGTGTTATAAATATTTTAAAAATATGTGTGGAATAATCCTTGTTTCTAGATAGTTTAAGGATGGGGAAAAACTATTGAGCTTCATCTAAAAGATAAAGAATTACTCCAAATGGGTTGGTTTATGATGTGTAGGAAATTTGTTTCAATTCTTTTTTTTTGGCACCAGGGATTAAACCCAGGGTACTTAACCATTGAGCCACATCCACAGCCCTTTTTAAAAAAATTTTTTTATTTGTTTTAATTAGTTACACCTGACAGTACAATGACCTTGACATATCATACATTTGAATCAGATGGGATATAACTTCTCATTTTTCTGAGTGTACAGGTTGCAGAATCACATTGATCATGCAGTCACGTATATACACACAGCAATAATAATGTCTATTTCATTCTACTGTCCTTCCTTTCCTCCCTTCCTCTCCCCTCCCCTCCCATCACTTCTGTAGCCCTTAAAAAAAAATTGAGACAAGGTCTCACTAAGTTGCTGAGTCTGGTCTTGAACTTCGCAATCCCCCTGCCTCAGCCTCCCAGGTCTCTGGGTTACAGGTATGTGCCTCAACATCTGGCTCAGCGTTTTAATTCTTTAAGTGGATGGTAGTTAAACTATTTACTTTGTTATTACCCATTAAGTTGTTTATATTTGTGTTTTACTCTTTTCTTTAAGTCTTATTATAATTTATAACTCTTATAAATGAAAACATGAGCCCTTCAGAGGAATGAGTTGGTCAGATCATACTTCTCTGTAACCCAAATTCTCAGCTAATATAGAAGATTGTTTCTGGAAAGTGGTCTGATGAGGGGGAAAAAAGTTTAGAGAAAGAAAACAGAGTTAGTAGTGCATGTTGGTAAAATGAAAAATCAGTAAACCTAAATAATGTATCACCTAAATTTCTCTGCAAACTTCAGTAACCAAATGTCCTAGCATTACTGAATTGATTTACTTTCTCCTTAAATGGTGGTATGGCAAAATCTCACTAATTTTAACTGATTAGGAGGATAGGTACTATTTTTAAGGGCATATTTAGTGACCTTAAAGAAAGCTAATTGTTGAATTGGGGTTAAGGTTAGCGTATAAATGGATACTTCAGAAATGCTTCCAGTAAGTTAATGCTTTTAAGTGTAGTTCTGTTATTGTATGGATTACATAGCTGTGAAGCAGGAGAAGACATATAAATGGGCTTTTAGTACAGAAAAAAAACAGACTATGCATATAAGTGATGAATAGTTTATAAATTTTAATATAAAGAACCATGAATTAGATTGTTTTACTGACAACAACATATCTCATTTGTGCTGTATGGATGAGAGTTATGTTAGTAAATTAGTCCTGACAGTTGAATAATTTATTTTCAAGTCTTGCTTCTGAGTGTCTGTGACAGAGAGCATGCTTGTAAATTCTTTTGGAAAATCGTGTGTGTGTGTGTGTGAGTGTGTGTGTGTGTGTATTTTTTGGTACTAGGGATTGAACCTAAGAGCATTTAATCACTGAGCCACACACCCCTAGCCTGTTTTTTATGTTTTATTTAGAGACAGGGTTTTGCCAAGTTGCTTGGGGCCTCACTACAGTTTCCTGAGGCTGGCTTTGAACTCACAATCTTCCTGTCTCAGCCTCCTGAGCCACTAGAATTATAGGCATACACCATCATACCTGACAAAAGCTAGTATTTCATTTTAAAAATTATGATTAGGATTCTGCAAATAATCAAATATTAATTTCTTTAAGAGTACATATAAACATAGCATGCAATTTTTCTATGTGAAAGTATTCTTCAGTTTTAGTTTCAGCTTATTCATTAATTTTGGAAAATTTGATTGGAAGTAGACTAAGTGTGCTTAAACAACTTCACTTTCCTTAAAGTGAGTGATTGTGAGACTAAGAAAAGACTAGTCAGTCTAGAGAGACGAGAGTTTATTCTTAAGCTAGTTACACAGGGCTTTGGCTGACATAATGTTCACCTTTACTCTGCTCTTTTGCGATTGATATCAGTGGCACTGGGAATTGGTCTCTCTGATGTATCCTCCTTTCCCCAGCCTGTGTAAACAGCCCTATTACATGAAGGTTTCTTTCATTAATATTGTAAATCATTAATACCTGTTGAAAACAATACCACATTTAAAAAAAGCTCATTAGTAACAATTACAAATATTAATGTTAGGCCACACCTACTGTCTGGTACACAAATGAATTAACCTCTCCTGCCCTGGCTCCAGGGCAGTACCACATGGGGTTCCACATGTGAAAAGCAGCTCCATTCCAGGTCTGCGTCTGCAATTTTGAGAGTTAGCCCTTGTGATTTTAATGGTCATGTGGCCATGGCAAAAGTGACTTTAGACAATGACACTTTCCACATTCGATACACATGGAGTAGTTCAAGGGAATGGGTTGTGTCCCATTTATTATATCTTGCAAAATTTACCCCATGGCTACTCTTTATAACATTGAATTTGGAATGTTGTTCAGTTATTCTTACTGGCTGCATCATAAACTCACCTTTAAAAAGTTCTGGATATATCAGACTCACCCGTCCATATCCAGATTCCAAAACAGGAACAAAGTTCAGATTGAATCCCCGTCGGATTCCTTAGAATAATAGTTTTAAGAACTCTTATTTGAAATTTGTTTTCTGTGTAAAAAGCATATTTATTAATGCCTCTGTTTCCAGGAGGGTAACCAGACATACTTCCAAACTCCTCTGGAAGGAAGTTTCCAGTTTCGGGAGTGCTCAGATGTTCTTCTTGTCTTTCAGTCTTGGTTGTCCATGAGAAAAGGAATTCTTCTCTTAGTTGTATATCAAATGCTCTCTTCATTGGATGTGCCTTTCACTTGTCCTCTGAAGGATCTCTCTCTTACTGTTGCCCCATAATTTAAACTGACTTTTGGGCTGTTCTTAGGTGGGGCCTATATGGTAGATGGACAGCAGTGTATTGTGGTGGGTGAGAGGAAAGTCTCTTGAGTCAGTCTGCTCAGTTTCAAAGCTATATGCCTTAGGATATGGGACCTATCTTTGAAAATGGGATAATATTAGTATGTACTTCATAGGATTTTTTTTGAGGATTATCTGAGTAAATATGTGTGAAGCGCTTGAAACAATACCTGATGCATAGTAAGTGCTCAATAAATACTAGTGTTTTCTTAATATTGCCAACTCATCTTCAGAATTCAAACCCTCAGAGGTTAGTGATGAGTATGCTTTGTGTTCAAGTGTTCTATGGACATATACCTGCAAGAGCAACCCTGAGGAAGAAGTTCCTGCGTGCCACATAAACTTATTTGAGGCATATGGGCATCCTCAATGGCTGTTTCCCCTACTCATCAGAATTGCCTCTTCCCAGGTGAGGTCATGGACACTGGAGAAAAGTGTCACCAGAGCCCATGCATCTCAGTCCTAAGGGCTTTTCAGCCTCTGCCCTGAGAACAGGATCCAGAGCTTCAAAACTAGTGTCTCACTTATCTTTATTTTGACCATGATTTCCAACATCACATCTGCTGTGGGCTCCCTCTGCTGGTCCATCTAGCATGTATGCAAATCTGTGAAATAACTGCTTTTAAAAATTCAGTTTTAGGTTTTTAAGAATGTTTCCATAAAAAACACATGTGGAAAATTTGTTTTGTATGTACATCTATCTTACTGTGTTTTGCTATTCAGATTATGAATAGGGATATTTTCAGGTTTGGTAGTTTTTCTTCTTTTTGGTTTGATTTCAGATGGGGGCTATCATGACATGCTGAGAATTTCTTCACAATATAGTTACCAAGAACTATTATGTTTTATATTCCAACATATGGTACTAAATATCCCAGAATCTTATATTAACAAAGTAAATAATGTCCATTATATAGGAACTTAATTTACTCTGAAAGTATCAAAAAAGTCACTTCCTAGATTTCTGGAACATTGTTGAGGGGTTAGTACACGTCCAAAGCTAGTACCTCATATCTGGGCACTGTCTTGCACACTTGTGATCCCAACAATTTGGGAGGCTTGGCAGGAGGATTGAAGGTTTGAGACTTGCTTCAGCAACTTAGATCCTATATCATAATAAAAAAACAGGACTATCAATGTAGCTCAGTGGTAAAGTACCCCTGGATTCAATCCCCAGTACCAAAAAAGGAAAAGAAAAAGGCAGGGAGGGAAGGAAAGAAAATAGTACGTCACATTTTTTTGGATGGTTCATTATTTATTGGGAGATATAATCTATGGGTACAAAGTGCCACAATGTCCCTACAATTGCATTTTAAAGTAATAATTCTGCTAGGCATGATGGAATACACCTGTAATTCCAACAACTTGGGAAGCTGAGGCAGGAGAATCACAAATATAAGGCCAGCCTGAACAATTTAGTGAGGCCCCAAGCAACTTAGCAAGAGCCTGTCTCAAAATAAAAATAAAAGGGATTGGGAATGTAACTTGGTGGTTAGGCACCCCTGGGTTAAATCCCCAGTAAAAAAGAAAAAATAAATAAATAAAAGGTGGAGGATGAAGCTCCGTGGTAGAGTAAAACTGGGTTCAATCCCTAGTACCTAAATAGATAAATAAAAATAATTCTTATGTTTCTTTGTTTTCTTTATCTCTGTCTCCTTTCTCTCTTTGGTGTTTTCTTCCTCACCTTTCCTAATAGGATCAAATAGCATAAACCGGATAACTACAAACCTGGAAAATGGAGAAACTGAAGGAACAACTAAAATTATTGCACCTTCACCAATAAAAAGGTCAGTAGTTACTAAAGAAATATGCAACCATATGCTGTCATATGTCCTTGTTGGCAAGGTTAAGAATTTTTTCACTTTGAAAAAATTAACTGATTTTGCTCCATGGGTCCTGTAGATAGTCTCCGGGCCAAGGACTATTTTAAAATGCCAGTAAAATATTAAACATCAAGACCTGCCTCTCTTATTGGAGAAAATGCTTTTACTGTCAGTGTGATGAACTCACAGATCATCCATGGTCTGCATTCGCAACAGCAAAGTGAAAATTCCATGTGATTTTTTTGAAATGGTATGATATAATGGACTAACTCACAGGGACTTGTGAAATAAAGTAGATGATATTTATGTGTAATGTACTGTGTTCATTACAGTAGTGCGCCGAACTGTGGCCCCAGAAAGAGAGTTTATAGCATGTAGAAGCATCAGAGCCTCAGAGTCAGCAATTGCATATGTATGAAGAGTTGTTACGGTCTTCTGCATCAGTTTTCCCAGAGGCATTCCCCAGTGGAAAAACCTTCCCTTAATATATTACATGGATTGTTTTCCTGAAAGATCTGCCTTGTTCTCCTTTCAGACACTGTTTCAGGGTCATTTTTTTTTCCCTATCTCCAATTATGTTCATGGAGTAGCATTAGAAACATACAATGAGCCGCTTTCATAGGCTCGCTTTCTCTTTAGATGTTGCCCCCATATATCATGGAGAAGTTCAAGCACTCACAGATATGTGACCTGATGTATTTCTTACATCATTGACTCCATCTTTTGTTAGTAAATAATGGTGTCTTCCTTTAGCTAGAGTGTGGCTACTTTGAGGAATCTAGTTTATAATTCCTGCACAATAATAATTTCTGCACAATATTATATTTTTAAAATTTATTTATTCAAATTTGTTATATATGATAGCGGAATGCATTTCAATTCATAGTACATATATAGAGCACAATTTTTCATGTCTCTGGTTGTACACGAAGTAGACTTACACCATTTGTGTCTTCATACATGTACTTGCGATAATGATGTCCATCTTATTCCACTGTCTTTCCTACCCTGCTGTCCCCTCCTTTCCCTTCCCTCTCTGTTGCCCTATCTAAAGATCCTCCATTTCTCCCATGCCTCCTGTTATGGATCAGCATCCTCATAAAAGAGAAAACATTCAGCATTTTTTTGGGGGGGATTGGCTTAATTCACTTAGCATAATATTCTCCAACTCAATCTATTTACCTGAAAGTGCCATGATTTTGTTCTCTTTTAATGCTGAGTAATATTCCATTGTGTATATATACCACATTTTCTTTATCCATTCATCTACTGAAAGGCATCTAGGTTGGTTCCACAGTTTAGCCATTGTGAATTATACTGCTGTAAACATTGATGTGGCTGTGTCCCTATAGTATGCTGTTTTTAAGTCCTTTGGGTATAATAAACAAGGAGTGGGATAGCTGGGTCAAATGGTGATTCCATTCCAAGTTTTCCAAGGAATCTCCATACTGCTTTCCATATTAGTTGCACTTCACAAGATTATTTTAAGATATGAGGATTCTCAGAGTTTTGCAGTTTCTCGCAGGGTTTTGCCTACCTACATGAACTTTTCTTCAGTTCCAAGATATTACAGATTTCCTTTTTGGAATGACACACTCTTTTT